GATAGACAGGGCCAATTACTTAGTATCTGGAGAAAAGTGGTGAGATTAATCTGGTTTCAGATGTTCATGGGTCATGCTGAACTGAGACTGAATAACCAATCACATGTTCAAATAATACACACTACTCACTACTCTCTCTCTCTCATATATATATATATATATATCTTTTTTTTTTTTTTGTACCAGGGATTAAATTCAGGGGCACTCAACCACTGAGCCACACCCCCATCCCTCTTTTGTATTTTATTTAGAGACAGGGTCTCATTGAGTTGCTTAGCTCCTTGCCGTTGCTGAGACTGGCTTTGAACTCAAGGTCCTCTTGTCTCAGCCTCTCGAGCCCCCGGGATTTCAGGTGTGCGCCACCATACCTGGCTCACACTGCATTCTGTATTAAAAATGGTATTGTTGGAGGTAACCCCATGTGAGTTTGTGAACTATACCATGAGATGTATTATAGGCAAAATAAACAGCTTTGAATCCCAGACCTCACTCACGAATGCTAGGTAAGCACTCTACCACTGAGCTACATCCTCAGTCCTTCTTTAAAAATTTTTATTTTAGCCTGGTGTGGTAGCACATGCCTGTAATCCCAGCAACTATGGAGACCAAGATAGGTAGACCTCAAGTTCAAGGCCAGCCTTGGCAATCTAGCAAGACCCTATCTCAAAAAATAAAAAAGGACTGGATGAAAAGTGGTAAAGTTCGGTGGTAAAGTGCCCTTGGGTTCAATCCCTGTGGGAGACCAACCTCATATGTGATTAAGTTAACTCCCCTGCTGGGGGATGTGGCGTCAGGCACCCATGCTGCTAGACCGCCTGCTCTTCTAGGGTTCTAGTGACTGTCTTCTTGCCTGGGTGTGTCTTGCTACAGCCCCATGAGTGAAGCTATGCTCACCTGTTCCTTTGTAATATAACCCCTTGCCATGTTTAGGATAGAATCTTCCATGGAAGTGCCTTGTGTGTGTGTCCCCTTCTCTTACTATGCCCTTGGGTGTGGCCTACCCAGGTGTCAGTCAACCTGCTGACAGTGGACATCATGAAGATAGACTCAGACCCCTGAAACCTGACCCCTTGCCTCATTTGAACAGCTTCTCCTCAATAAAAGGGGTCAGCGCGAGCTCTCGCTCTCTCTTCCTGTGGACCCTTAAGGTCAGAGGAGCCATCACAGGGACCCCAAAGAAAAAGGTATTTGTGTCTCTTGTGTGGTTATTTTGCACAGCCCAGTCAGCCCAGTTCAACTGGAGTGACCCCTGAGCCTTTTAGTTGAGAACAGAAACCCTGCAAATTCCCAGTACCAATACAACCATAAACAAACAAACAAACAAATAAATAATTTTTGTTTGAGACAAGCTCTCACTTAGTTTCCCAGCTAGCCTCAAACTTATGATCCTCCTGCCTTGGCCTCTTTTTTTGGTGGTGCTGGGGATTGAACTCAGGGCCTCATAATGCTAGGCATTACTTTAACCTCTTGAGTCCCTGGGATTACCAGGTGTCCGCCACTGTGCCTGGCTGGATTTGGACACACTTGGATGTGACAGATTCTTTGCTTGGTCAAACTTTATTCAGGTTTCTGAATCATCTTCTGGGCCTTTTTTGTGTATTTTCTTATAAAATCAAGTTTTAGCAAAGAACCCTACAAAGTCAATTTAGCAAGAACTCCATACTGTGGATATCTGATCATTCTCAGTATCCAATCAATTCCCACAGGTGAAGTCTGCTCTCCCCCTGCCTGTCTTCAGCAAACATCCAGCTAGGTCGAGTGAGCCAGGACACTCCTTACCCTTGGTAAAGAGCATTTCCTCTTGGTCACTCCATCGACTGTCCCCCATAACCCACTCCTTGGCTATAGCCACCATGCTGTATTGACTGGAGCCCGATCTCTGTCTCCTATCTGCAGAACCCTATTGCAACAGTCATTTCCACAATCCTAAGTGAAGTCTTCCTTCGCACGCCTTAGCAAGTGTGATTGAATTTTTTTTTCTTTAACATAGGCATGTATTCCAAATGGCATGGTTTGGATGTGGTTCATCCCTAAAGGTCTCCAGTGGCCATGTTAGAGGTGGCAGCAACTTTAAAAGGTGGGGGTGTATTGGGAGGTAATTAGGTCATTTGGGGTCACCGTGAGAAGGGATTAATGTAGTTCTGATGGGACCCAGTTTGTTCCCAAGAGAGTAGGTTGTTATAAAAGAGCAAGACTGGCTTCCTGTTTCTTGTTCTACCATTGCGATAGCAACCCCTGTGTAGCCCTCAGCACAGGGCTAACCAACAGGTATGTCCAAGCTGGTCTCTCAGCCTCCAAAACTGTGTGAGTTTTCTTATAAGTAGCCAGTTTCAGGCATTTTGATATGGGAAAATAAACTAATACACTAAACATGATAAAAAAAATATCTTTTTTTTTTTTTTGGCCAAGGGTGTAGTTCAGTGGTACAGCACTTGCATAGCTCTATCAGGAGTAAGAAAATGATACACTCAGGACAAACGATATGAAAGAAATAGTAGAATCTGTGTCTGGGATTGGGGTCTCTGGTAAACTGCCTGATTGTGGCCTGCTTGGTGACTAGGAAGTTTCTGTGCAAAGACACAGGATGCCTGGCTGCTATAGCAATGTACTTTACAAGGAAACTCTGTGTTGGAGTCTTATCAGTTTCGACCTTCACCTCAGGCACACAGCTCCTGGGAATATAGGGACCTGTAGGTATTCTGGCCGTGGAAATGTACAGGGAAGCGTTTCTCTGGTGAGCAAACTCCGGGGCTGGGGGGGAACAGGTGCTCTGTCCTCCACCCTCGGAATGCCCAGCAATTTCTCTTTGAAGCTAGTAAGATAATTCTACATGTGCAGTATCTAGTTACTATGGTAATGTCCTTAGAGAAAAGGGGGCTGTCTTAAACAGCCCGGACTTCGGTCTCAATTATCTAGTACCTGGGATTAAAGGAATACTAAATAATAATATAGTCACGGTACTAAGGAGCTATGGAACTTTTGATATAAAGAAAGCTGGCTGCTTGGAGGGACAGCCACTCTTTTTCTCTTCTTCCTGCCTCTGCATCTCGTCTCTGTGTCTCTTTTTATTTGCCTCACGGAAAGAAAAATCAGGAGTAAGAAAATGATACACTTAGGACAAATGATATGAAACAAATAGTAGAATCTGAGTGTTGACAATAACAGAAATTGTTGAATTTGTTCTGGAAAATGGTCAGGACTCGCCAAAAGGTTTCTTGCAACAATGAACTCATTATTTACCACTAAAGAACTTTGTCTTGGTCCTGCAGAGTGGAGGCTGGGGTGATGTGGGTTCAATGTGTCATCTTTGTATAGAGGTTACAATTTAATTCAAACTTGGGCCATCCAATGTCAGAGATTAAAAAAAAAAAAACAATGAATGGGTCACATAATTCATCACAGTCACTCCTTTCCTTCCCTGGTGTATTTTTCTTCTTAGAAATAAAGAGGATAGCAGATTAGTGGACTTTTGGTTCTGTGCCCTGTCCCAAGTCCTTTTAAATCTTTTAATTAATTAATTAATTAATTAATTAATTAATTAATTTATGCGTGTGTGGCACTGGGGATCAAGCCCAGGATTTTGTGAATACTAGGCAAATGCTTTATCACTGAGCTACACCCTCAGCCCTCGTTTTAAAAAACAAAGTTAGGGCTGGGCACGGTGGCACATGCCTGGTAATCCCAGTGGCTAGGGAGGTTGAGACAAGAGGATCACAAGTTCAAAGCCAGCCTCAGCCACAGCAAAGCGCTAAGCAACTCATTGAGATTCTGTCTCTAAATAAAATATGAAATAGGCTGGGCTGGGGCTGGGGCTCAGTGGCAGAGCGCTTGCCGAGCACTGGGTTCAATCCTCAGCACCACATAAAAATAAAAAATATTTTAAAAATACAAAATAGGGCTGTGGACTTTGTCCAGAACTTTGTCCTGGTCCTGCAGAGTGGAGGCTGGGGTGATGTGGGGTTCAATGTGTCATCTTTGTATAGAGGTTACAATTTAATTCAAACTTGGACCATCCAATGTCAGAGATGAAAAAAATAAAACCACTGAATGGTTCACATAATTCCATCACAGTCACTTTTGGTACCAGTTCAATCTCTGGTACAAAAAAAAAACAAAATTAGCTGGGTACTACCCTGCCTGTAATCCCAATGGGGCCCCGGAGGCTGAGGCAGAAGAAAAGAAAGTTCAACACCAGCCTCAGCAAAAAGTGAGGCACTAAGCAACTCAGTGAGTCTCTGTCTCTAAATAAAATACAGAATAGGGCTGGGGATGTGGCTCAGTGGTCGAGTGTCCTTGAGTTCAATCCCCAATAACCACACCCCCTTGCCCCCCCCCAAAAGTTAGCCAGGCATAGTGGCACACACCTGTAATCCCAGCAACTCCAATCACAAGTTTGAGGACAGCCTCAGCAAATTAGCAGGACCATTCTCAAAAACTAAAAATATATAATGGCCTGGGGTTGTAGCTTAATAATACAGTGTCCCTGTGTGCAATCCCCAGTAAAAAATAAAAAAAATAAAGATTAGACTGCTTCCTGAGAATTCCTTTTTTTTTGCCGGTACTGGGGATTGAACCCAGGTGTATTCTACCACTGAGCCACATCCCCAGCCTTTTTTATTTATTTCTTTATTTTTTCAGGCAGGGTTTTGCTAAGTTGCTGAGGCTGGCCTCGAACTTGGATCTTCCTGCCTTGACCTCCCCTGTCGCTGGGATTACACGTGAGCACCAAAGCAACAAGCTCAGACATGTCTTGATACATTATTGTTTAAAAAATGCATTTCCATTTCCATTGCTTAATGAAAGATCTCTTTTCCTTCAAACCTTTTGGGCTTTAAAAATAATACTCCGAATGGGAGAAGAACCTGCCAGAGGCCAGGTGCGGGGGGACGCAGGGCGCAGCTGGGGCAGGAACGGTGGCAGGAGCTGGGAGCCCTGCTGGCTGTTTACCGACGGAGCCAGAGGCTGAAGTTCAGCCTGCGCTGGGGGCAGAGACGCTGGTCCCGAGCCCTCCCCCGCCTTTGATCCGCAGGGCGCCCTGTCCTTTGAGCCTGGCGGCTCCCTCCGGGCTGGCACTCTCGCCTTGCGGGCTAGTGGGACCCTTCGGGGGCACTCTGGTCCCGTGGCCTCGCGGGCTCGGAAGCGGGCGGGCGACATGCTGCGTCTGCTGGGGACCCGCTGCACCCGGGGCCTGGGGTCCAGCGTGCCTGCGCGTCCTGCCACCGGGCTCTGCCTCCCGGGACGCAGCCAGAGCCGCCGAGCCTCCGACATGCCCCGGAACCACCCGCCCAGCCCCGAGTTGGTGGCCCGGTCGGTGGGCATCTGCTCCATGATGCGCCTGCCCGTGCAGACGTCCCCGGAGGGGCTGGACGCTGCCTTCATTGGGGTGCCCCTGGACATTGGGACCTCCAACCGGCCCGGTGCGAGGTAAGGTCCCCGGCGTCGGGGTTGGGACGTGTGGCTGGGACTGATTATGGAGCGTGGAAGGCGCGAGGACAGACACCTCCGCTCACCCTGGGTAGGTTGGAAGCTGGTGGCCGGCTCCAAAATGGTTTGAGAGACCTTTGATTCCCCTCCTTCCTCCACAAGCCGTCCAGGGCTCAGCACGTGACTGGAGGGCTGGTCCTCTCGTGTCATCATTGGTCAGGAAGGGTTTCTGGAGCCCCCTCCTGGGACCTTGCTGGGATGGAGGATGTGGGTACCTTCTCTGCTCTCTCCACCCGGCCTTACAGTGGAAGGTGACATTTTGTTTGAGAACAGAAACTGGCTGCCTCTTCTCCAAATCTCTAAGTATAACTGACTGGGGGTGGCGGGGAAGCAAAGAAGCTCGAATTAAGGAAAATCTCTCAGGATTAAATTAGAGAAAGTAAAACCCCTTTTCCTAATTATTGAGCATCAGCAATTTCTAATTCAGCTCTTCGAATCTGATTGTAACTGTCTAAATGGTCAAAGCCTTATTTTATTTATTTTTGTAGGTACTGGGGATTGAACCCAGGGGCACTTTACCACTGAGTTACATCCCCAGCCCTTAATTGTTTGTTTTTTGAGACAGTCTTGCTAAATTGCCAAGACTGGTTTTGAACTTGTGATCCTTCTGCCTCATTTTCCTGGGTCACTGGGATTACAGGTGTGGCCCATAGGCCCAGCTCCAAAGCCACCATTTATTATTTAAATGTATGTCCCCACCGGCAGGACACATCAACGTGGGCAGCGAACCTAGATGGGGAGGAATGAAGGGACAAGAGACACGAAAGGTGACAGCAAGACAGGAGTTCTGATCAAGCTGCAAACTTTTATTGTTCACACAGGGGTATTTATGGGCTGGGAATGGGGGAGCTCTCTTATCGGCAGTTGCTGGATGTCTTCACAAGGTGAGATAACGCAGGATGTTTCAGGAAGACAGATGGCCGCAGGATGTCTCAGGGAGATGGATGGCTGCAGGGTGTCTCCCAGGCAAGATGTCTCCCAGGGGGCTGTTTCTTGTAACTGTCAGGCTATTCTTTGAAGGAGAACTCCCTTCTAGTCCCTGGCACTGTCAGGCTATTCTTTGAAGGAGAACTCCCTTCTAGTCCCTGGCAAATGTAAGGCACTTTGCATAGATTACCTAATTTCTTAGAACAAGGATGTGAAGTAAATACCATTATTATCATATGGATTTGGAAACTGAGTCTTGGGGAGATTAAAATATTATCTAATGTCATTTAATAAGTGGTGATGAGTGGGCCCCTAACTCTGTGTTTTATTTATTTGCAGAACTGGGAATTGGACCCAGAGATGCTCTACCACTGAGCTATATCCCCAGCCCCCCCCCCCCCGCATTTTTTTGAGGCAGGGTCTTGTTTGATTGCCTAGGCTGATCTAGAATTTGTAATCCTCCTATCTCAGCCTCACCAAATTGATGAGCTTATAGGTTGCGCCGCCATGCCCAGCAAATTTGTGCCTTTAATTTCTTTAATATACAAACTAGGGCTGGGAAGTAGACAGCTTACTTAGCATGCACAAGACCCTGTGTTTGTTCCCAGCACCGCAAAAAGAAGAAAAAAAATTTTATATATATATATATATATATGATCAGTGGTTCTCAGTAGGGGTGGGTTTGCACCCAGGGGACATCTGGCAATGCCTAGAAGTATTTTGCTTGTCACAACTTGGGGGAGAAAGTGCTACTGACATCTAGTGGGTACAGGCCAGAGAAGCTGTTAAACATCCTGCAAGGCAAAAACCAGCAGAAGAGACTACTTGAATGTCAGCAGACCCGAGCTGTTAAAGCCTGGCCTAGCAGAGAGAGCCTTCACACCTGGGCGTGGGGCTGACAGGTGATTCTTTTCCTCCAGATTCGGACCCCGACGCATCCGGGAAGAATCTGTGATGCTCCGGACAGTCAATCCTAGCACGGGGGCCCTGCCCTTCCAGTCCCTCACAGTAGCTGACCTGGGCGATGTGAATGTCAATCTTTACAACCTTCAGGACAGCTGCCGGCTAATTCAAGAAGCCTATCAGAAGATAGTAGCAGCTGGTTGTGTTCCTCTGACCTTGGGTAATGTCTGCTAGGGTGAGGGGAGTTCTCTGGGCTCATTTGTCATTCGCTTGAGTACTGCTACTTTTGCAGAAGATGGTAACAGTAGGAAAGAGAACATTCTAATTCCTTTATTTTAGTCCCTGGGGACAGGATATGTAAAATATTGGAGTAGTGTGGCCGGTAGGGCTGGTGGACTAGGGGAAGGCGGATGAGGCCTTTGCTTTGGTGTATAATTTAAAGGATGCCAAAAAAAAAAAAAAAAATCAGCAATCAAAATCAATATGGCAGGATAAATATTACCAATTTTTCTTTTTTGCCTTTGGCTCCAGCATGGCTGGAACAGCATGGTTACTGATCTTGTCTTTATTTTTATTTTTTGGTCATCACAGATTTTTTTTTTTTTAAATCTATTGTAAGGTTAGGGGTGGAACCAAGGGCCTTGTCAATGCTTGGCTAGTGAGAGTTCTACCACTGAGCTATCTCTGCAGCCATGCATTGATTTTGATCTTCAACAATACTGTGTTAAGCCTGGCATAATAGTGCACATTTATAATCCCAACAACTTGGGAGGCTGAGGCAGGAGGATTACAAGTTGGAAGCCGGCTTCAGTAACTTAGTGAGACCCTATCTCAAAATTAAAAGTAAAAAAGACTGGAGGTATAGCTCAGTGGTGGAGCACTCCTGGTTTCAATCCTCAGTACAAAAATAAACAAGCAAACAAACAAACAAAAATCTGTGTTAAAATAGGGTCGCTCTTCTACTAAGTGCTATGGCTTCCTTTAAATGTTATACCCCAGTATGTGTCTCACCATCCCAGGCCCGGGGAAGGCTGCCAGTAGGGACTCCCTGTGACTTTCCAAGGATTTCAAAGACAATGTTCATCATGACTGTGGGGAGAGCTGCAAAGGGTGTCTGTCCTGGTCAGGATCCTAATCAACCCGTAGGGTAACTTTCCCTTCACCCTCCTCCACTCTCACTTTCTTATTTCTTTCTTCTCTGATTTGTAAATAGTTAAAATGACCCAGAAATTTTTCTAAATATTCCAATTTATTTTTGCCAAATGAGAGGTCCTAGTCTGCACAGCATGGTGGTAGGGACCTTGGCTTCTAGGTGGAAGGTTTGAAATCTCAGCTCTACCTTTCACTAGCTGTGTTACTGTATCCACTGCTTGGTGCCTCATTTCCTCATTGTGAAATGGGCATAGTAATAATGCCTACCCATTGTATTGTGGAAGAAGCATATAATGAATGGGCATACAAGATGCCCATCCTAGCTGGGCATGATGGGGCACACCTGTAGTCCCAGCGACTCAAGAGGCTGAGGCAGGATGATTGCACCTTGAAGACAGCCTCAGCAATGTAGTGAGGCCCTAAGTGACTTAGTGAGATTCTGTCTCAAAATGAAAGGGGCTAGGGGATGTGGCTCAGTAGTGGAGCACTTGCCTGGCATGTGAGAGGGTGTAGGCTTGATTTCTGCCACCACAAATGAACACATAAACTGCCCATCATTGTGCCTGGCCTATTTTAGGCTTAAATAAACGTTAACTATTGATTATTAATAATTATCAATAGTAATACTTTCCTAGGCCTGCACTGCTCAAAAGGGTAGCCATTAGCTACATGTTAAGTTTAAACTAATTAAAATATGCAGTTCCTCAGCCACCATATTGGCTAGCGCAGACAGAACATTTCCATCATCCCAGAAAGTTCTCTTGGACAGAGTTGTTCTAGGGAATTACTTGTAAGCAATTCAATTCATAGATTCATCTAATTTTCTCTTTTCAGTGACAGTGACATCTTAAGCATCCCTCTACTGACCAAGATTGCTCTTTGGCTGTGTTTTTAGACCTCTAGTCCAGCTGAAAGGGAGGCAGAATTGGCAAACTCGGGGTTGTTGCACATGATCATCTTACTCATGTTCCAGATATTTCTCTATTTTATGCTTTGCAGGTGGAGATCACACAATCACGTATCCCATATTGCAAGCACTGGCAAAAAAGTAAGTCCCAAATGGCTTGGCCAAGTGAGGTTTCAAGATTCAGGAGCTAAGGAGCAGCGGTTTGCTGCCAGGTGGTATTGGGTGACTGCTGTGGACTCAGGTTATTGGGAGTGACAGGAAAATCCCAACCAACTTGCTTTTGAGATCAAAGTTAAGGCTGAGGGGCTGGGGCTGTAGCTCAGTGGTGGAGCGCTCACCTAGCTCGTGTGAGGCATTGGCTTTGATCCTCAGCAGCACATAAAATAAGTAAATCAAATAAAGGTATCTACAACTAAAAAAATTAAAAAAAAATTAAGGCTGAGCTCCAGGTGTGTCTGTCAGTCTCTGGCCCTTCCCTTGGCCCAGACCTGCTCTGGTACGCACCCAGCCCTCTCCACTGGCCTGTTGGGGAAGGTGAGCCCCTCGTGAAATACACAACCCCAGTTCACTTTGGTTTCTGTTTCGCTTCAAGGGCTGAATCCAAATTCCCAGGCAGTGTCGATGAACACACAGTGTCTTTATTTGTTTTTATGTGGTGCTGAGGATCGAACCCAGTGCCTCGTACATGTGATGCAAGTGCTTTACCACTGAGCTACAGCCCCAGCCCTGACAGGCAGTGTCTTTTCAGGGATGAAGTCAACCAGGGACTGACCAGCTTTGGCTAATTTAGTTGGAGGAGGAGACAGAGGGCTGAGGCAGTGGGTGGCAGCTCCAGAATTAGTTTTTGGGAAGGGCGTATGGGCAGCTTTGTGGCTGGAGGTACATGGAGACAGATCCTGTCTCCAAGCCGCGCCTGCCTCCCACTGGCGGGGACCACATGTCCCCGTGGGGAGTCCTCAGGGTTGCTGGTGGTTCTGGAGAAGAGCCGGCTCACAGCTCCCTGTTGGTTCCGCAGTCGGAATCGCCGTGGCTGCTTGATCTGGCCTTTAGCTGAGCTCTCTCCCGTCCTCCCGGCCTCTTTTATTTATCCATTTATTCATTTAATTTTGGTTGTGGAGGTTGAATCCAGGGTGCTTTACTACTGAGCCACACCCCCAGCCCTTTTACTTTTTCATTTTGAGTCAGGGCCTTGCTAACTTTCTTAGGGTCTTGCTAAGTGGCCAAGGTTGGCCTTGAACTTGCATTCCTCCCGCCCAGCCTCTGGAGTTGCTGGAATTACAACTGCCACCCTGTCCAGCCCTCCAGCCCTCTGAAGGTGCAGCAGTCCTGGATGGGAGACCCTGGGTGGTAGCCTAATTACGTGTCTCTTTCTGCCTGGCTGCTCTCTGTTTACCGCTGCTCTGAGATGCTAAGTGATTTGAAGACACAAACCAGTTGGCACGTGGGTAGTTGAGGCCAAGTCTCTCCTCTGTGACTCTGAACTGTCATCAAGTTTTGGCGACCTGAAGGCTGTGTTTGGGCCCCACAGGGATGTTTGGCCTCTAACTGTCCTGTTGTCCTCAGGTATGGCCCTGTGGGGCTGCTGCATGTGGACGCCCACCTGGACACTGCCGACAAGGCCCTGGGGGAGAAGCTCTACCATGGGACACCCTTCCGGCGGTGCGTGGAGGAGGGCCTCCTGGACTGTCAGCGGGTGGTGCAGATTGGCATCCGGGGCTCTTCCATGACCCTGGATCCCTACAGATACAACAGGAACCAGGTGAAAGACTGAATGCCCCCCAACTCCTCTCCGTTGCCTATCATGTGGCCAGGGCTTTGCTAATCAAGTTCAAGGTAGGGTCAAAGGGCTGATTTTCCTTCAAGAGGGTCATGTGGCAAAGAGGAGTGAGGGTGCTAGTAAGGCAGAGGAGGCCTGTTTGGGGGCTGGGGAGGCCAAAAGAAACAACCAACCTCTCAGAAAAGAGGTGGGGGTCCCAACACAAGGCAGGTTGCTTCCTTCTGAGTTCTCATCCTTACCACTTGGTAGAGTGGCTCTGGGGTCAACACAGGATAAAGATCCAAGTGGGAAGACACCTCCCTTGCTGTTGGGGCTTGCCAAGGCAGTGTTCTGGACAGAACCATCCAGAAGGGGCTCTTGTGGGCAGCCCAGGTTCCGTCTCTTGCCTTAGCAAAGCTTCCCTCTGCTCCCTGTTCAGTGCTTAGCTTTGACCCTGCTCCCTCCCCTTACCTGTGAGCCGGGGACAGCAGTTCCTCCCCGTGGAGGCTGAGGGTCGGATGTGATGTGCCCATGAAGAACTGAGCAAGGAGCTGGCCTTGACCTCCAGCTCTTCCATTGCCCCCTCCTCAGGGCTTCCGTGTGGTCCTGGCTGAAGACTGCTGGATGAAGTCGCTGGTCCCTCTGATGGCGGAGGTCCGGCAGCAGATGGGAGGCAAACCCCTTTACATCAGCTTTGATATTGACGCCTTGGATCCTGCCTATGCCCCGGGGACAGGGACGCCTGAAATTGCTGGTCTCACCCCTAGTCAGGTAAGGAGCCTTCCCCAGGAAGAGTCCTGGGCCAGGGGAAACTTGACACCCCACTCTTCTAGGACTTGTAGTCTTTAGTATCAGGAGAGGATTTCATGGAACTGGACTTGAATCCAGGGGTGCTCTACCACTGAGCTACATCCCAGTCCTTTTTATTTTTTGAGACAGGTCCTCACCAAGTTGACCAGGCTGGCCTTGAAATTGCCAGCCTCCTGTCTCAGCCTCCCCAGTAGCAGGGATTACAGACATGCAGCACTGTACCCTGGCTGCGGTGCCCTTAGAATTCAGAAATTGGAAGGATTTCTGAAACAAAATCCTCACCCTCTGCAGATCCTCCTTCTGGGCTTCCTGCCTGCAGGATGGAAACCCTTTCCACGCCGTCTTCCTACCTGCCTTCCCTTGTCCTGTCTTCAGACCACACCTCACTACCTGGGCTCCTCCCATCACGGTGTCTACCCCTTCTTTCCCTGGGCCTGGGATGTCCTTCTTTTCCACTTGAGCTTAGCCAAGGCCTTGAAATGTTTCCACATTTCGGAAGCCTTCCTCCTCCTCTCCTCTCCAGGCTGTTACTTGTGCTTTTTCTATTCTGGGCTTGCTTTTCTTAAAGCCCTTTCATACACGACATTGAACAGATTGGCCTGTCTCGTCATCAGTGAAGTGCTCAGGAGCAGGGACCGGGCACTAGTTATTCGTGCCTCTGGGAGGCCACCGGTGTGGCTGCAGGAATTCTAAGGATGGGCATGTGCCCGGAGCAACCCACGGAATCTTCTCCACTGGTCATTTTTCTTCGTTAATGATTCCAGTAATGACAACTTACTAGTATGGTTCTCATCTTGGACAGGCTCTGGAGGTCATCCGGGGCTGTCAGGGCCTAAACGTGGTGGGCTGTGATCTTGTGGAGGTTTCCCCGCTGTACGATCTCTCTGGTGAGTAAGCAGGAAAACTGACCTGTGGGCAGCTGCTGGTTCACGTTTTCTTTGGCATGGAGGATTGAACCCAGGGGTGTTCCACCAAAGAGCTGCATTTCCTCAACACCCCACCCCCGGCCCTATTTTTTTTTTTTTTTTGAGAAAAAGAAAAAGAAGATTTACTACTTTGCTAGCAAAGGAGAAACACAGGAGACTTCTGTCCCAGAGGCTGATTCTGCCCATCAACAGGAAATGGGGAGGGGGTGGGTGGGAGGGTTTAAGGTGACTCTAAGGCTACAGTCCACTGGTCTGTTGAGTTGTAATCCACTTGTTGACTTGGGAGATAGTCATTTCTGAGATCTTCTGGTACCAGGCCCAAAGCCTAGATTACTTCCTTCCTATGGTGGGTGTGTACTCAGGGACAGAAAATTGTGCCTAAAATGGGGAAGAAAGGCAATCCCTTTTCCCCTGAGATTAGGGAGGAGCAGCGAGGGGAAGAGAACCACATCCATTTAAAAAATCAAGTTGCAGTGGCAGAGCAGCAAGGGCTGTATTCAGAGCATAAGATGGCCCACTGTGGCATCTCCGCATTGCCAGTTTCTACAATGCATTTCTATGGAAAAATGGGTGACTACGTCTCCAAGCTGCTTCTTGCTGAAAGAGGGTGAAGTTGGGGGAAGTACCCCAAAGTCCTTGTTCTCTATCAGTGGGGCACCTCCCTGCCTTTTTTGGAGTCAGGGTCTCATTAAATCGCCCAGGCTGGCCTTGGACCTGTGAACCTTCTGCCTTAGCCTCTCGGGTAGCTGAGGTTAGAGGTGTGCACCACCACCTCCAGCCTGGGGAACCTGCTGAGTATGTCTGACAGGGGAGAAAATAAGCCTCTATAAATATGAGCAGCAACCCCGATAAAACTCTGGAGGTGCCAGGTATTAATAGCTTGCCCATATCAGGAGGAGATGGGTGCCATGATTTGTCCTCCTCTGATACTTCACTTTTTTTTTGTGGCGCTGAGAATCAAACCCAGGGCCTCATACATGCCAGGCAAATGCTCTATCACTGAGCCACAGGCCACATCCCCAACCCTAAATTTTTTTTTTTTTTTTTTTTTGTGGTGCTCGGGATTGAACCCAGGGCCTTATGCATGTGAGGCAAGCCCTCTACCAACGAGCTCTAAGTAAGTTCTCAAAGCATAATGTTTACACACAGTGGGGCGTTGGCTGGTTAAGATCTTCCAAGCAGGTGCTGTCCTAATAATTTTAATTTATTTTTGTTTTTTCTTTTGGCGCTGGGGACTAAACTCAGGCCCTCGTATGCACAGGCATATGCTGTGCCACTGAGCTACACCCCCAGGCCAATAATTTTGATTTAGAAAAGCTCATAAAGTTAGGCCTGTTAGCCTCAGAGGATAAATATAGTACATGCCATTATTATAAAATTTCCTTTTGGGGAAAAAGATCTAAGTGTAAACCAAGAAGCTTCTGAATTTTCAAATACTATTTCTACTTGTTGCTTGAGGAGGGCAGAGCGCCACGGGGGCACCCCCAGGGTGGGAGTTGGGGGATGGGCAGCAGGGAGGGTGGCTATGTGCTCCACTCACCCGGGTCTCACTCTTCTGATTTTGTCCTAGGGAATACAGCCCTCCTGGCGGCTAACCTGCTGTTTGAGATGCTGTGTGTTCTCCCCAAAGTGGCAACTGCCTGAACCTTGTCTCTTCTAGACAAAATGGAAGCACTGCCGACCACTCCTCAGGAGCTTACTAGCGAGCAGTACTGAAGAGGGTAGGCCAGGACAGCTTGCTGCTCAGGGTCGTTGGTGGCTATAGAACAAGGACATTCAGAATTCTAACCCAAACACATTTCTAAGGGTTTCAATTGACTTTAAAAACTGAGGCACTTGACACTGCTCAGATTTTTTTTTCTTTGATGAAAGATGGAGGAGGAGAGGAAATGGAGGGAGAATTTCACTCAAGGTCATCTAAAAATGGGATGAAGGAATAAAAAAAATTATGAAAGGATAGTGCACAAAGACTCCACATTTCAATACTATCTTCCTTTAAGATAGAGCTCCTTTGAGGAGCTCAGAGCTGCATCTTGGTTTATTTATTTATTTGCGGTGCTGTGATTGAACTCAGGGCCTCACTCATGCCATCACTGAGCCACATTCCCAGCCCCGCATCTTGGTTTTAGGATCACTGAAAACATAAATGATCTTTGAAGAAAAACAACATGCAGTTCCTAATAAAGAGATGTCCCCAGAAGCCCAGATAACATCAGCTGAGCCCTTGATGAACCTTCTAATCCACTCTCTAGGAGACTCAATTTTGCATTATTTACTTTAAGCCAACACGCTCTTCTGGCCAGCAGTTCCTGAAATCTGCAGCTGGGCTGTGCTGATCCCAAGCGTTGCTGAGAGAAACTTCAAGATGATCATCTTGCAGTTCAAGAGCTACCCACAGTCATCACACATTAAAATAGTTTATTTGTTTCCAGTCTGTAATAGTCTTAAAACAATATCAGCTTCAGTGCCTGTTCACAATACAAAAAACAAAACTTAAAAAAACAACAAACAAAAAACCCTAAAACATAAAAAAGACACAATTTGCCAAATAAGTTATTCGTTCCTAAGGGTATCAAAAGTGCAAAATAGTCACCTTCTTAGATATGTCTCCCAAGTACCATCATCTTTCTGAATAAACTCAACAGGGTCAGCAGCTGCCATATGGCGTGTGTTTTTTCAAGAGACAATGTAAGTTGAGGCTAAGAGTGTTTTGCATGTTTCTTTATTTTGCAGTGCTAGGGTTGTAGGCAGGTGTAGCCACTCCCCAGGCCCTGTATCAGCTTTAGTAGTTTTTGTGTGTGTGTGTGTGTGTGGTGCTGAGGATTGAACCCAGGGCCTTCTGCACTAGATGCAAGCACTCTACCTACTGAGCTGTATCCCCGCCCCTGCATCAGCTTTTAAGTTCTATTTTAAAGGGACCCAAAACAAAACAAGGCTGGGTGTTTGTTTCCAATTTCTATTCCCAAACAAAGCAAATCACTTAACAATAGTTCCCCTGTCTTTCTACACCACGGGAACTCTTAAGCACTAATGGCAGCTGCAAACTGATTAGGATGATAATAAGTAACAGGCTAGAGTAGAAGAGGATGTGAATCAGGAGGAGTTCCACCTATTTGAAAACCACAACCCAGCTCTCCTGGGAGACCAGGATGCCTCCCAGGCGGGGCAGTCCTGCTGGTGGAGAGGAAGGGCCAAGGACGTCAGTGTTAGACAAATACCTGAGCGATAAACAAGTATTTCTGAGATGGGAGAGTATTCTACAAAGACTCACTTCAGGCTAGTTCTCATTCCTCTGCTAAACATGACGCACAGTCTGTACAGACCAGAAATACCCACCTCTGAGAACATCAGCGTTGATATTTGAAGACTAGAGAGTTACACCCCAACTGGGTTCGGTGATTACGTACATCAGAATGAGAAGTGGTGGCACTGGCTGAGTGTGACAACGGCTCATACATTTGACACAAAATAAAACTCATGGAAATAACATTCAGAAGGAAAGGCTTGCATGGTTAAGGATAAAATTCAATCTAAAAAGCTCCCTAGCGTCCTCGTGGAACACATCTATCAGCCCCCGACAGAGCTGCAGAATTTTTGGACTGAAATATTTGCCGGGATTATTGTCAACTCCAATCACCATTTTCCTTTCCTAGTGCAAATGGAAAGTGCAGTGGTCTGTAGGTTCTCTTCATTTTAATAGTACAAAAAGGGGGGAAAATCGGGGGGAATTTTTGGTTTTTCATTAGTACCAGAAATTAAAAACAAAAGCCTGCCAATGGAACAAAGCACTGTTCACATGAGCAACAGGCCATAAAAAATCCAGACAACGGCAGGGCACAGCGCACCTGTGATCCCAGTGGCTTCAGAGGCGAAGGCAGGAGGATCACAAATTCAAAGCCAGCCTCAGCAACTTAGCGAGGCCCTAAGCAACTTAGTGAGACCCTGTCTCAAAAAATAAAAAGGGCTGGGAGTGTGGCTCAGTGGTAAAGTGTCCCTGGGTTCAGTCCCTAGTATCCAAACAAAACTCCAGAAATTAATTTTAAGGACTGGTGTATCAAAGAGCTGAGGAGCTCTTGGGGCTGGGTGCCACAAGACAGGGATTCCAGAGTGAGCATCCACTTCCAAAGGATCGTGGGAAGAATGAAGCCCTGGCAGTGATTTATTTATATTTAAATAAAGCTCTAGCCTGACTCCATGAAGCTGTATGAATTCCTGGGCTCATATGATTTATTATTTACCACTGTAGCTCAAGGTTTAAATTATTCAGGATCCAAGTGGCTTGGTTTAAAGCAATTATGATTAAAGAAATACTAACTTAGTAAATGACCCATCCCTGATTTTTGCCCTTTACTCTACAAAAGGGCATTTGCTTTGACAGACAGACCACTCTTGGAAATTGTCCAAATTCCTGATGGTCTGGCCCTAAAAACAAAGGCCTGCCCTCAAGGGACCCAGAGCCCATGTAGAGTGTGCAGCAAACCCAGAGCTGACCGTTGAGGGAGAGGGTAACAGCGACAAAGCCGCAGTGCCAAAGCACAGCCAGAGGAGGAAGGCAGGCTGCTTGCAAAATGGGCCTAGAGTCCATCTGAGCTCACCTGTCACAAAAGACGACTTGAAGACAAAGCATTTTTTGTGTAACAGTATTCAAAATACAGTTGTTGAGGGTTTAAGTTCCTTGATACAAAGATGTGTCTAGAGTGTTACTAGACAGACGCCACCGGAGTGAAGAGCTTCCTCCCCGACTCTGGCAGGCAGGAATAATCTGTTTTCAGTCTGACATCTACTGGCTTTATATAGCAGCTTATCTACGTTCAGAGAACAAGATCACAAGTTATGGCTCCTAATATCCACACCCTACAATCGACAGGCAGAAAGGCATCTGAGAACGTACAGGTCAACGGCTCAAAGTCATGACAGTGCTCTTGCTGGGCAGACTCCTCCCCGGGATGGAGGGGTGATGTGATGCTCACAAAGGATCCCTCCAGCCGCTGCCCAGACCTCCCTTCCCCTGGCTGGGGAGGAAACAGGCTCCTATGCGGAGACCCCTCTAGACCCTTTCCTTTCAAAGCTGTGGCTGGCAAACTGCTGTGGGGGATCCCCCGCAAGATGCACTTCTTGCCACTGACTCCCACAACCACCACTGTGCATGAGACTGCTTGGCACCAGGCCTCGTTCAAGGGGCAGGCCGAGAAGGCAAGGTGGTGGTCAGGGTGGGGAGCATGCGCCTGGGCAGAAGCTCAGCAGGGGCCAGCGTGGGCCTGAGGGTGCGCAGGGGTAAGTGACTGGACTTGTGGGACAGGCTCCTGAGGTTCCGTCTGGGTGCCGCTGTTTCTCCAATGAAGGGCCAGGAAGGGGCAGGTGGTGTGAGCCCGGGACAGGGGCAGCAAAGAGGAGGGAATGAGCAGTCTATTTAAATAGTGCGGCATTCAACTGATGTCAAAAAACCCAAAGGGAAATATTTTGATCTAGAGAATTTGAACCTGTAGCGTGTTTCCCTCCCAGGTGAGGACGGGAGTGAGGGCCGGACGGAGAGGTTCTTCCCACCACTGTTCTAAAAGAGGAATCTAAAATCTATGCTTTGTCCGTGGTGACTGAGTCCTGAAAAATACCTGTTCCTGGGGCATGTTAAAAAGCTGGAGAGTTCACATCTCTTTTTGAAGCCTCTCAGTCTAGCTCGGGCCAGGAGGGGATGTAGAACCTCTGCAGGGACCCTTCCAACAGGCGCTCCATCCACAGGGACAACTTGCTCAGCTTTCCCTTGATGGGCCGGGGTCCCAGGCCGCAGGAGGGTCTCCCCCGAGACTCGCCCAGGGGGAGGGAGGGGTCGAGGTCACCGCAGGACCCCATGGCTTCCTCCTCTTCCACTGTTTTTTGGGGTTTGAAGAGGCAGAAGTATTTCTTGTGGCCGTTCAGGGCCAGGACGTAGCCAGTGTAGTCCCGCTCCAGGAAGTGCTTGTCATACTGGTTTGGGATCGGGGCTGCGTCTTGAGCAAATTCCAGTAAGTATTCCAGCCACTCTCTGTGCTTGTCCAGGCTCAGGAAGGAGAAGTGCAGGCAGCTGCTGCTGTGGGGAGAAGGGGCGGACTCAGGGCGCTTCCCACGCCAGTCAGACTGGAAAGGAAAGGAAAAGGAGGGGCCTGGACACAGGAAGAAGCCGAGGGCCTGTGACAGTCCCTTGGCTCACTCACCCGCCCCGACCCATTGCTGGCTCAGAGAGTGGCGGGGACAGTCTGTTTTCTGAAGGGCTCAGGGAGCAGCATGGATCTCAAGCTCTGTTCTGAACAGAGATCATGAAAGTTGAGGGGGAAAAGAGGGCCCCCGTGATGGCCCGAAGTGTCCAAGACCTCGCTGCATGGATCAAGCCCACAGCCACAGAGGAGTGGGCACGGTGGTCCCCGGGGGCCCTTCACCCAAAGGTGCACACCTGCTCCCTCTCTCCCTGCGGCTTCCACACCCCCGCAGACTCCTTGAAGGCGGTAAACTTACAACCCCTCAGGAAAAAAGAAACTTAGGGCTCTGACCTCTCGTCATTTCCCAGATCTGCCCAGGTTCCCGTGACCCCCAAAAGTATCTGACCAACTCCTCCCCTGATAGGCACTAATAAACCCTACACAGCTCGGCCCTTGGCCGTAGCCAGTGCCAGTTCCCTCTTGAAACTGTGCCCCTCCACCGCTTCACAAAGAATCTCTGATCCGCTGAGGTCTTTTCCTTTCTGGGTTCTCTTTCCTCACACCGCGCTTACCCAGTGAACGAGTACACCTCCAGGGCAAACTTCTGCAGCAGGCTGTTCTTGGTGGAATTGGACAGGATGAGGACCACGTTCATGTGGCCTGGCCTAAGGCGCACCAGGTTGCTGGTGTATGTCACATCCGTGAGTTCTGTTACCTCCACGAAGCCTTTCTTAGGAATCTTGCTGTGGGGAAACGGGGAGAAGTTAAGATGTTACCAGGGCAGCTGATGCCACTACTTTAAAAGGGAACAGGTTGAATGATACACTGTGTTGTTTTTTTTTTGTACCAGGGATTGAACCCAGGGGTGCTTGACTACTGAGCCACGTCCACAGCTCCCTTTATTCTATTTTTATTTTTAGACAGGGTCTTGCCAAGTTGCTTAGGGCTCACTAATTTGCTGAGGCTGGCTTTTGACCTTGGGATCCTCCTGCCTCCATCTCCTGAGCTGCTGGAATTACCGATGTGTGCCACTGCACTTGGCTGAGAGGCTGTATTTGAACCAGACCACGTTATTTAATAATGACTCTGATGTGGCAGGACAAGACGACCTTGATTTAGTAAGTAGCCCTTGGCCTACAGCAGCCCTTCTCCTGAGGCTGAAGGGTGGCGCTACGGAGGCAGCCATTGGTCTGCTTTGTTGCAGAGACCCAGGTCCCTTGATGTTGGTTGTGTGCTCTCAACAGATCAGTCATCCACACTGTTATGAATTATGGTGTCATGCCACTCTGCTTCTGGGTAAACTACCACCTTCCTGGTTGTGTGTATGTGTGGGTTGCAGTTTTGGCCTCCCATGTGCTGGGCAAGCACTCCTACATCTCTGGTCCTTTTTACTTTCTGAGACAGGCCTCAAACCTGTGAGGCCAGGAGGCTGGCCTCAGCCTCCTAAGTCACTGGGATTGCAGGTGTGCGCCACTATACGTGGCCTGATGTGCTTTTTCACTTCCTGCCTTCATTATTACATCTGTGACTGAGAAAGCAAAGTCCCAGGGCATAAAGTAAGTAGGTCGTATGTCTAGATGCCTAGGAGGTCTTAGTGAACATGAGCCAGCAGCTGCCTTTCCCTGGATAGGCTGAGTATCCTCCATCTGAAATACTCAGGACGAAGCGTTTCAGGTTTTAGATTTTCCCATGTTTTATTTATTTGTTTGTTTGTTTATTTATTAAAGATAAACATCACATTTAAAAAAAATTTTTTAGTTGTAGTTGGACACAACACCTTCATTTATTTATTTTATGTGGTGCTGAGGATCGAACCCAGGGCCCTGCATGTGCCAGGCTAGTGCTCTACCACTGAGCCACAACCCCAGCCCTAGATTTTTCCATGTTTTAAAATATTTGCATACATATAATGAGATATCGTAGGGCAAGCTCCCAAATCTGCTTTTTTTTTTTTTTTTTTTAATACTAGGGATTAAACCTAGAGGTGCTTTACCACTAATACACATCCCCAATCCTTTATACTGTTTGAGACAGGGTCTCACTAAGTTGCCGAAGCTGGCCTTAAACTTGGGATCCTCCTGCCTCAGCCTCCCAGGCAGCTGGGATTACAGGCGTGTGCCACTGTGCCCAGTTACACCCAAATCCAAACATGGAATTAACCTATGTTCTGTGTACCCCTTACCCACACAGCCCAGAGGGAACGTCACACTGTGTGTCTGGTGCACCCGCATTTTGACTATGACCCGTCATACAAATCAGGTATGGAACTTTTTACTTGTGGTGTTAAGTTGGTGCTAAAAAATTTCAGATCCTGGATCATTTCAGATTCTGGGTCTTAATCAGGGGCGCTCAACCTGTATTCCCATCTCCCACTCAGGAGCGGAGCCAGCCACTCTACACACTCGTGTCCTGACACAGCTCGGGGATCTGCGGGGCGGGCGCCCAGGGCAGCAGAGGTGGTGTGGGAGAAACCTGCTGTTCTCCTTGGTGAAGCTCGGCTCAGTCTTCCCGACCTTCTCAGGGGCTTCCTCTTTGTCTGGAGGGTGGGACTCTCGCTCGTCATTTGAGTCACTAAAGAAGGAAAAAGGATATTGTATGTATAAATGAACACGTGATGACCCCCAACATGATGACAATAATAATGCACCAGCAAAAAATGTGGGGAAAAATAATGAGAAGAAATTTTATGAAAAAAGAGCACATAAGCTGTGGGCAGCCCTCTGCACTCACCTGAAGGCCTGGACGATGACCGTGCCGAAGAGGATGAAGAGGGCAGAGAAGATGAGGGACAGGAGGGGCATCATCTCCCGCCTGAAACCAAGAGCACAGCTGGGTGAGTGCCTGCGCAGTGCCGGGCTTTAGTTTCTTCTCTCAGTTCTCAGAAGAAACAACCCAGCCCAGAAGCCGTCATCCCAGCAGACAGCGCTGCTTCTGGGGCGGCGGGGAGGGGGAGGTCGTGTCCTCCTGATTCAAACAGCTCATTCAGGAAGTCTGACTGGGGATCTCAGCATAATGGGTTGTGCTTAGGAAGCTCTGTGGCGGACACGACAGGATAAAAAGGATTTAAATTGTAAATGTGGACCAACCTTCTGATGCTGAGATATCAGTGATTAAAACGGCTGTGGAATGATCTCAACTTTATTATATGTATATATTTTACATATTTATTATATATTCTTAACCTTCATTTATTTCTATGTGGTGCTGAGGATCAAACTCAGTGCCATACAAGTGCTAGGCAAGTTCTCTATGCTGAGCTATAGCCCCAGCCCATTATATCTGTGTGTGTGTGTATATCTATCTATCTATCTATATCTCCATATATATATATATATATATATGTATCTATATATCTATATACATATACAGATAAGTAGTAAGAAAGGATAATCCAGATGGGGTTAAGGCATGGAGCAGGGAGGGAATGATGGTTTTTCATGATTTCCCCCAGGGCTGCTGTTCTAAAACTCTATGCTCTTGCAACACCCACCAAGGGCGTGCCATCTTTCAGGGGGCCCTGCTGGGTGCCAGGAGTTAGAAGTGTGAATTCGAGGTGGTTCTGCCCTTCAGGAGAGGCAGCGTGGGCATCCTGCTGTGCCCACTGTGCTGCTTCACTGGTGCACCTGCAAACGGACTCCACGTGCCAGGCCCTAGCTCTGCTCTCTGGAAGGGCAGTGGGTCATCTTTTCCCAGCCAATGGGAAAGGTTCATTGACAAATTTTTAAAAAAGTGAAGTTGCTGAAAGCAAGCAGGTGGGCAGTGAATGGAAACTGTAAAAGTTCTTCCACTTGCTATGTTAAGTGCACACTGAAATCAAAGTAGGCCGGGCATGGTAGTGCACGCCTGTGATCCCAGAGAACATCAGTCTGAGGCAACTTGGCAAGACCCTGTCTCAAAATAAAGTGAAAAAGACTTTGGATGTAGCTCAGTAGTAGAGTGCCCCTGGGTGCAATCCACAGCTCTGCAATTAAAAAAGAGAAAGAAACAGAACTCAAGGGAGGATGGGCTCTTTCCAAAAGAAAATGGGTGACGCCGGTATTAGCAGATGAAGGGCACCCCATCCCAGCATCATTCCTACCAGTTGCTATGGAATATGCCGTCCCAGCAGTCGGCCAAGTAGTCAGAGGCAGAGTAGAGCCACCGGAGGAGAAAGATCTATCAAGGGAGAAAATGGACATGGTCAGCACTGACCAGAGGAGGGTCCCCACCCCACAGCACTGAGCTGTTGTGACACTCTGCTCTTAGCAGGACTTAGTTGCTGGCCCTGGCAGTCCATGGGCCCCCTGGCAGCCCACCCTCCCTGGTGATGATGCTCACGGGAGCAAGCTCGTCCATTAGGTCGGGGAGCACAGCCTCAGAGGACAGAAGAGCTGGATCTTTCCGCAGTTGGTCGAGGTAACCCAAAAGGATAAATTTATCACTCTCACTCCCAGTCCAGGGATCTTCCAGGGTTTTATACACCACCCTTCCTGCCGTGTTACGTCTTTCTAAAATAGACACCTGGGAGACAAGGAGAGAAATATCATGAGAAGTCTCAAAAGCATCATAAGTTATAGTCGTTTGTATTTTTGCAGGGAGGATGGATGAGAGAAGTCACAGTAGGCTCAAACATAAATGCTAAAGAGTCTAAAATATTTGCAAGAGATTGAAATCTTTCTCATAAAAGGAGCTGTTGTTATTTTTTGAGACAGGTGTCTCATTATGTTGCTCAGGTTGGCTGTGAACTCTGAGGTTCAAGTCATTCTTCTGGCTCAGCTCCCAGAAGAATCATTTTCATGGTGAATTTTCAAAGCTTTTGTCAAAAGTTAAAGCTCTTTCTTCCCCCTCAATAGGCTTCGTTCTATAATTTAATAAATGAAACCTTAGTGTTTTTTTTTTTTTAGTTGGCAATGAACCTTTATTTAATTAATCTATTTATGTATTTGTTTGTGGTGCTGAGGATCGAACCCAGTGCCTCACGCATGCTAGGCAAGCGCTCTACCACTGAGCCCCAGCCCCAGTCCCCAAAACCTTAGTTTTTTTAGAAAATTTTTTCATGATTACCAAAATGAGGACAGAGAAGAATTTCTTTTTTTTCCCCAGTGCAAGGGATGGAACCCAGGGCCTAGGTAAATGCTCTACCACTAGCTACATCTCCAAGAGGAGAACTTCATGCTTCTGGAGAAGAGGGAAAAAGGAGAAATCCATTAGGATGAAGCGGAAAAGGCAGAAGGCGGGGGAAGTTGCCAGGAGTACCATCAGTGCCTACGGTTTTGTAAAATCTGGCATCTTGGATTCTGCAGACCAGATCTGGGCAACCTGATGAGATGGACCGATGTACCTTAACCTTTACTCATAGGAGAGATGCCTTCTGTGGAGGCCTAGGCTGACCTCTAGGAGGTGAAATGACCACGTGGAAGACTGTTGTCAGGGTAGCCTTACAAAACAGGGCCCGGAAGGTTCCAGATTTTTGGAATCTGTAGTCAACGTCCCCCAGAAAGAAGGAAACGGAAGCGAGGGCAGTGCTTGTGAAGGGGCTGGGTCAGGAGAGAATCCGTGGCTCACCGCTGACTTCCCCTGAAACACCTCGCTGTCCGGCAGCAGGCTGCGGGCAAACTCCTGTTGCCGCCCACTGTGGACGTGGACGAACCGCACGGTGTCCTGCGTGTTTGCCAGGGCAAAGGACAGGAAGGCCTCGAAGGGTCTGCTCAACTTGGGAGCCTCAGCAGTCAGTAAGACCACACAGTACCTGCATGAGAAGGAGAGAGAGGACTATAACCAGTTCCTGGGCAGGGCCAGAATCTGCAATCCATGATGAAGGGTAGGAGGAGTCACTTTGCAGGGTGAAGAAGATATTGTGCATCAGGAGAGCTGCCATCTCTTTTTTAAATTTATTTTTTTGTGATCCTGGGGATTGAAAGTGGTGTGCTCCACCACTGAACTACATCCCTGGTCCTTTCTTTTCTTTTTTTAAATTCTTTTTTCTTCATTTATTGCCTTCAATATGTTGCTGAGTCCACCCCAGGGGCAGATTTTTTTTTTTTTTTTTAATGTGGTGCTGCGGATTAGAACCCAGGGCCTTGTGCATGCAAGGCAAGCACTCTACCACTGAGTACATCCCCAGCTCTCTTTTTATTCTTTATATTGAGACAGGGTCTTGCTAGGTTGCCCATGCTGGCCTTGAACTTATAATTATTTTGCCTCAACCTCCCAAGTAGCTGGGATTACAGGCGCCCATCATCGTGCCCAGTTTGCGAGCTGCCATCTCTGAGACTTCCAAGTCAGTAATGACCTGTTCCTTTTCCAGACTAGTAATGTTCTCCCCACACCCAACTCCATAACATCTAGGAATTTCTTTTAGGCAACTGGGCCTTGATCCTTGATGCAGAAGGTCCTTTTAAGGAAGTCATCTTGTCCCAGTTCTGCTACCACAGGGAAGACTAGTTGAATCTATCTTAGGACAGCGGCCACCAAACCTCATTCTGAAGGAGCTTCCTTTGCAAGGTTCCAATGTAAGCTCAGCCATTCATTCTCCTGAACATTGACTGAGCACCTGCTACATGCCAGGGAAGACAGAGGACTTCCTTGCCCTCAGAGCTCACGTTCCAGTGAGGAAGACAGACAACAAATAGATTTCACAATAAACAACCAGTGCTCTAAGAAAGAGAGGAGAAAGGGATATAGAGAGGCCAGTGTTGGGGGAGGTCATGGGTTGGTGAGGGAAATGGCACCTGAGAAGGTAACACTTCTGCAGAGACCTGAATGAAGTATGCACAAGAGGCAACAAGGCCAGAGTGTCCCGGGTAGAGAGAACCACAGCATGGAGACCCCAGGATGGGGAGTGATGGGTTTGGGTGTTTGAGATCACGGCTGGTGTGTGGAGAACCCGCCTGGAGCAGAGGAGGAGGAGACGGCGCAGAGGCGAGCAGGAGGCTGCATGGGAGGCGGGGCCTGCTCCAGGGCCGCAGCGGTAAGGAAGCCAGGCGTGTGGGTTTGGAACACGTTTTATGTAAATGACAATCCTTATAGTTCAGGACACTCTTTAAAAATCTAATTAACGTCTTTTTTTTTTTCCTTCCCTCTCAGACTATAAAGGAATTGGCAAAGTCTGAAAATACAGGGGGATTTTTAAAATTTAAACAATATTTTCAAACAATATGATCAGATACCTTTTACAGATAAAATAATCCTAAATTTAAAGCCCCACTGATTCATTAATTGTACCTATCTGAAAAAGGTATACGAGACATTTCCCTGTATTTCCAGGCTTTTTAGACACTCTGCACAATCACATTCCACATTCTTTACTGAAATCACAGGCTAATCATTCTGACATTTCCTCTGCACCCTACCTCACTTTCCCTATCATTTAACTGTTGTCCTGGCTCTCTCCAGACCTCCAGGGACTCGCCCTGCATGCATGCTCTGTAGGGAGAGGAACAGTCATGCTCATGCTTCACTAAGGGACCTGCCTCCTGACACCTGCTAACATCTGCTTGTCTGTCAGGTTCCAGCTAAAGTGTTACATCTTGGTGTGCTCTGACCCCGAGGCCAGGCTGGCACAACCAAAAATTTGGCCCTAAGGTACCCTAAGGTACCTTCATTGACAAATGAAGAATAAATGCTGTCACCAGGTGGGTGATCAGTTCCCCTGTAGTAAACTCCAAGACAGGAAAAGCCTTGGGCCTTACTTCCTCTGTCGGTGAGATCGTTTCACTGGGCAGAGCTCATGGAACAACTTCTGGCTGGTAAGCCTGGCTGCCAATAGGTACTTGTTTTGGGTTATAAAGTCTTCAATGACCTGCTTCTTCAGACCTCGAGCCTGGGGGAGAACCAAGAAGCAATTAACTGGATTCAGTTTTCTCACTGCAAGTTGACTTTACTTAAAAGACTAATAAAAACCTGGTGGACCCTGGCTAAAGTAAGAAAACCGGGTTAGATGGGCCAGTCTGAGTAAATGAATACAGTGACCTAGGCCAACCATGCAGGATGAGAGGAATGATGTTGCTATTCCGGTCAAAGCAAAAGTCAAGGGGTCTTTCCACAGAGAACTTCTGTAGGTTGTTTCATGCTGACAATTTAAAAAGTCAGTCACTTTGAATTTTAGGCAAATATATTTCCATTCAGGATCTGTAGCAAGCTGTACAATTAAAAATAAACTCCCAAGTAACAATGTTACTTCACATTAAAGACAGACTACAAAATCATATGAGGGCCAAGTGCAGTAGCACAAGCCTGAACACCTGAAATCCCAGTGGCTTGGGAGGCTGAGGCAGGAGGATCGCAAGTTCAAAGCCAGCCTCAGCAGTTTAGTTGGGCACTAAGCAATTCAGCAAGATCCAGTCTCAAGACAAAAATAAAAAGGGGTGAGGATATGACTCAGTGGTTAAGTGCCCCTGGGTTCAATCCCCAGTACCAAAATAAAAAAAAATCACATGACGACTGTTTTATACATTTTGAAGGACTGAAATCAGAGGCAGCAGGTTCATAGAACATAATGTGATTAAACTAAACCTTAATATGAGATAAGCTTGGGTGCGTTCAGAGTGGCATGGCCGCAGACTAAAAATATGAATCAGACTAAAACTTAATATGAATATAAGCCAGAAATCCACTTTTATGTTTGGAAATTAAACACATTTTGAATAAGCCATTTACCTAAGAAAAAAGCCTATCAGATATTAGAATACATTTAGAATTAAAAGAAAAATACTGTCAAAATTACTACTTGGGAGGCTGAGGCAGGAAGATGGCTTGAGCCCAGGAGTTCAAAGCCAGTCTAGGATCTAACAGATGTGAAACACAGCTCAGGATAAGAATCTACAGCATTCATGGAGGAACTCAGTCACTAAGGAACAGAGAACTTCTTGAATCTGATAAAAAGTATCTCTGAAAAGCCTTCTGAGAAATACTTATTGGGGGACTGCCAAAAGCAGTTTAAGATTAAACACAAGGTGCCCCTCCCGTCATGCCACTTCTCATCTATACCAGAGCTCAGTGCAAGAAAGGATCAAAAAAAAAAAAAAAAAAAGGGGTGGGGGTGGAAGAAGCAGCAAAATTGTCATTAATCTCAGATGATACAATTGTGTACTTAGTAAATCCAAAAGATGACAGAGATCAATTTTTTAAACCAGTAAGTGTTTGGCAAGAGTGATGGATGATCATGCAGCATCAGTATTTAAAAGTCAACTATATGTTTTATGCCAGCAAACTGAAAATGTAACAAAAAAGATTCCCTTTCTAATAGCATGAAAGTATGAGGTATCAGAAATAAGTTGAGAAAAAAATTTCTTCACAGGGAAAATCATAACACCTTAGGGAGACACACACACAAAGCACCCAAGCAAATCCCACAGAGTCGTCATGTTTACGGGCTAGAAGGCTCAGATTTGTAAAGATCGATTTAAAGAATTGGTACAAACTCCCCAAACCGATTGTGTTCAAACTGATTTAAACAATCAGTACAAACTCTCGAAACCCCAGTAGATTTTTTTTTTCTGTTTCTTTTTTTTTTGTGTGTGTGTGTGTTTCTTTTGATGTAACTTGGTGGACAGAATTTAAAATATATATAAAAAAGTACAAAAGACTAAAAATAGCCAAGATGCTTTTTGAAGAAAAACAAAAACAAAACAACCCCCAAAAACTCTCAAAAAAACAAACAAACAAACAAAAACCACCCAAACTTCCCTGGATGCCAAAACAAAGGATATGATTTTCATATCGACTTTCACATTTGTTCTGACCAGAACTTTGTGTGTGTGTGTGTGTGTGAGAGAGAGAGAGAGAGAGAGAGAGAGAGAGAGAGAGAGAGATTAAACCAGGGGCACTCTATCAATAAGCTACATGTCCAGCTCTTTTTAAAATTTTTTATTTTGAGGGGCACTGAGGATCAAACCTCAGGTGCTCTACCAGTGAGCCACATCTCCAGCACTTTCTAGTTTATTTTCAGACAGGATCTTGCCGAGTTTCCAGGGCTGGCCTTGAACTTGTGATCCTCCTGCCTTGACCTCCAGAGTCACTGGGATTATAGGGTGCAGTGATAACATTTTATTAGGCTCAATATCCCACCCCACTGATTGCCAGGGCTGAAACCCTACTTCCCACAGATAATACAGTTGGAAAAGGGAGGCTTGTTTTCAGATATCTGTGACTAATCTTTGCTATATCAAAACTCAATTAATGGTAGTTTCTTTAGGGTTAATTGCTGCGTTGATACAATAAATGCTGGATAGTTTATCAATTACCTTTTACTTAGAATGGATATTTTTTCATGTTCTATTTTAGTAACACTCCTGATTCTATAATATCATGCATTGGTCATTTGGAATATTTGTTCAATGACTTTCAGTACATTGATATGGTTAATTATACCTATCGGAAAAAGAATCACATCGCATTGATGGACCAATCTAATCAGAAAGTTCTGAAGAGCTGTCAATTTGCCAATGTAAATTTTCTGAACTTCAAATTTTCTTGGAAGTCCGAATTTTATCACTGGCAACGGATGCCATCAGTTGTTTTCATCAAGTTCCAGCCTCACTCCACTCATTTTTGCAGAAATGTTTTACAGAGCCCTGATTCCTGCACAGGTGCTGACAGCTTTACCCACTGCTGTTTGTCCTGTCAGTGCAAATGTCACCACAGTGAAATAGGCAAATTATGTCTTGGTGTTATCATGAAGTCAGCTTCACCTCGGATTCCCTCTTAAAGGGTCTTTGGAACTCCCAAGGCCGTGACCACATTATGAAACTGCTGTCCTGTTGAACTCAGGTGCAGCAGGGGACGTATGATATTCATGGCAACACTGCTCCTCAAAGCCCCCCAGTGGCCACTGACAGAAGTATGAATTAATAAATTATAACGTAGTCAAACTACAATATAGCCGGGAAAGCAAATTACTTAGACTACAGGAAACAACTGGTGCTACCAGTGTTACTTATGCTAAGCAGCTTGCCTTGGGAGAGTTTACGTTAAGTATATAGTTCTTTTTTTTTAATTTAAATTACCGGGGATTGAATCTAGGAGTGCTTTACTTCTGAGCTACAGCTCCAACCCTTTTTTTGGAGACAGAGTCTTGCTGAGTTGTGGAGGCTGGCCTTGAACTTGCAATCCTCCTGCCTTAGCTTCCTAAGTTACTAGGATTACAGGTGTGGCCACCAAGCCCAAGTAAATGTGAAGTCTATCTTGAAACATGGAGATTCTCACATACCTGAATCATGTCAGCCGGCTTGTTTATGTGCTCTTTAAAGATCAAGATGGTGGGGGCATATACATTGATGTTGTACTGCCTGGTCATCTCCTCCACCCCTCTCAAACCGACATATACATATCCAAATGACAAATAATCTTTGTATGCAAAAGCGGTCAACTGTGAGAGCATAAGGGAGAAGAAAATGAAGTTTATATATAGCATGCCATCTAAGGTACAAATCAAATGGCAAGTTGACATCAATGGGTGGAGATGCACATCCCCACACAGACCTACCAGGTCTCTTACACCCTCCCACACCTCCCGAATGTCATGGCGTTCCAGCACAAAAACTGTACCAATAAAAGTAAACAGCTTTTTTTTTTTTCTACAGATAAAGTAAAATAATCATTTTATTGATATTTGTACTAGATCTAAGGCTGGGATGTTTGGAGAGTTATGTCAGAAGGCAGTGGCTGTGCCAATGGATGGGCACTTTCCTCTCATCTCAGGTCACAGTGATGACAGAGGTGAGTGGGAAGTGTAGTCCAGGGTCTCACAAAGAGCAGGTATGCAGTGAGACCAGGGGCAGGCTGGATGTCTGCCTTGAGCCTCAGCGTCTTGGTCTCTAGAATATGGATAATATTCCTACCCCTAGATTCCTCTAGGGACGGAGGGCACCTGGGGGCGGAGAGCACTCGCACATGAGGTAACCAGCACCATGAGGTGCTCCATGGGCACTGGTGAGGAAAATGTCTGGGCTTCAAACATTTCTCATGCAATTAACTAGCACAGGCTGAGCGTCCCTTGTCTGAAATGCCTGGGACGAGTGTTTTGGATTTTTTCAGATTTTGGAATATTAAAATATGCACAGTGAGACAGCCTGGGGGCAGGGCCGAGCCATGACACACCTGATTTGTTCCACAACCCCTAGACACACACAGCCTGACAGTAATTTTACGCAGTATTTCTAGCGCACCTGCATTTTGACGGTGCCCTATCCACCAAGTCGAGTGTGGAATTTCCCACTCCTGGTGCCATAAAAGTGCTCAGAAAGTTTCTGATTATGGAGCTTTCAGATTTTGGTTTTATGGGTTAGGGAGGCTCAGATTCACTTAGTGCTTACAAAAAGACACACAGGTTACAAGTGTTCCACCTAAAATATAAGAACACTTTACCAGATATAAGTACCTTGTACAGCAGTGGCACAGTAGGCCCCTGGCCGAACAGAAGGACGTGAGGTTTATTCTCTTGCTGCCAGCCAGAGAGGAATCGGATGTAATTTTTATTTGTAACCTTCAATTGAAAAGAGGACGTTAGTTTCAATATTTATTCTTTTTTTTTTTTTAAAGAGAGAGAGAGAGAGAGAGAATTTTAATATTTATTTTTTAGTTATCAGCGGACACAACATCTTTGTATGTGGTGCTGAGGATCGAACCCGGGCCGCACGCATGCCAGGAGAGCGCGCTACCGCTTGAGCCACATCCCCAGCCCTCAATATTTATTCTTAACAACTATATTATACTCCAGTCGTAAAATAAATTAAAAAACTAGATATGTGTAAAAGATTGTCTGCAAAACGTAAAAAATACAGACAACTTTTTTCTTCCCCTGGTCCTGCAGATTGAACCTGGGGGTGGGGGTGGGGGGAGTTGTGTTCAAGCACGGAGCCACTTCCCTACCTTGCCCTTTTCATTTTTTATTTTGAGACAGGATCTCACTAAGTTGTGCTGGCTGGCCTCGAACTTCTGATCCTTCTGCTTCAGCCTCTGGAGTTGCTGGGATTACGGGCATGCACCATTGCACCCAGCTGATTCTTGCTTAATGGTAGAATGTAATTTTTTTTTTCCATGGTGGGGATTGAATGCAGGGGTCTCCTGCATGCTAATAAGCAAGCATGTACTCTACTACCAACACCTGAGAGTGTACTTCTTGATCTACAAAAACCGAAGATATTTGATACTTGCCATTTTATTTATTTACTTATTTTTGGGGGGACAGTACCAGGATTGAAATCGGGGCACTCAACCACTGAGCCACATCCCCAGCCCTATTTTATTTAGAGACAGGGTCTCATTGAGTTGCTTAGCACCTCGCTGTTGCTGAGGCTGGCTTTGAACTTGTGATCCTCCTGCCTCAGCCTCCCAAGCCGCTGGGATTACAGGTGTGCGCCACTGCGTCCGGTTGATACTTGCCATTTTTTTTTTTTTAATTTTAATATTTATTTCTTAGTTCTCGGCGGACACAACATCTTTGTTTTGCATGTGGTGCTGAGGATCGAACCCGGGCCGCATGCATGCCAGGCAATCGCGCTACCGCTTGAGCCACATCCCCAGCCCGATACTTGCCATTTTTAAATGGCATAAATAAAAATAAGGTAGCCCATCCCACTGTACCTCAGGTAATTTCACTTAGAAGTTCCACATTTGAATTGTTCTTCCAGGTTTCTTGCAGGGCCTGGAGGTACTCTGAGGCTCTCCCAGCCAGGTTCCTGTAAACCCATCTAACCCGCTCACCAAGGAGCGGCTGACTCCCTCCTTTTCTCACCTTACCTGCCGAACTCACTATAGGTACCATTTCTGTAAAGAAGCCTTTTCCAATTCTTAGGATGGGCTCCAAAACACTGGATGGAAATACGCAGCTCCTCTAGCCCAGGAGCTGCTCAGAAAGTGTCCTCAACACTATTCTATACCTGGCACTGAACAGATTTTTTTTTTAAATACATTTTTTAGTTGTAGATGGACACAATACCTTTATTTTATTTATATATGTGGTGCTGAGGTTCGAACCCAGGGCCTCACACATGCTAGGCAAGCACTTTACCACTAAGCCACCGCCCCACCCCAAGAACAGATGTTTTATAAATGTCTCAGAACTTATCGTAACAACCTCTCATCTTTTTAGGAGCCTGTGATGCTCTCTGACCTTTTAAGCCAACTCCAACAAATCTTTCTCCTGTGGATAACCCTGGTGGGACAGTCAGTAAACAGCCCAGGTAAAAATATTATAGAAATTTTTATAATTCCTCTCTGGTATTGTGAATGAATGAATTATTTAAAGTACAATAAGAGCCCTTTCCTAGTTGCTTTGATCCCTATACTAACACACTTGGAAAAACATTAAGATGCTTAAATATACAAATCAAAAACTAATATGAACTATATGTCTGTTTCTTTCTTTTTTTTTTAAAATTTTTTAGATGTTAATGGACCTTTATTTTATTCATTTACTTACACATGGTGCTGAGGATTGAACCCAGTGCCTCATACATGCAAGGCAAGTGCTCGATTACTGAGCCACAACTCCAGCCCTGTATGTCTGATTTCTTTAGATCAAGTTTTTCTTCATGAATTTCATCCATATTGTTGTATCACTGTAAGTTTTCAGAGACCCCAAAACAATAACTGAGTTCATGGAATCTGGTGTTTTCTATAGATATGAACATTCAATGCATGAGCAAATGTAATTTTATTTGAATATTTTCACAAGACAAATAACTCTGCATGAACCAATTCATGAGCCACAAAGAAATCTTTTATCCTATTATGGGATCTAATTTTTTTGTTGTTGTTGTTGACTAGAAAACAAGTCATTTTGGCTCAAATGAAATTTTACCTATAACAAGGTAAAATCTGCAAGACGCTTATTAACATGAATGAATTTGTTCAGTCTCTGTACTTCATCTGTTTCAGTCTCCTACAGTTTTCATTTAAATGATTCATTTTAAAGTGATCAATTAATATATCTTATCCTGTTCAAAATGAAACTCAAGTCTGAGAGTGTCACAGGTAGACTGTGGGCAGCCAGGCACCTGGTAAACCACTTCCTGCCATATTCTCCCCAGATACTCACCTTCTCCACCAAGTTCCCTGGAAGAAGGCTTTCTACAAACTGCCGGAGGTTCTCACGAACAACTGCATTGTGGAAGAAGGAGATTTTCCCATTTATGATTCCTAGGATAGAGGGTGTGCTGTGTGCTCCCAGGTGATGGGCCAGGCGTCTCTCGTACCCAGCATGGACCACGCCGATTCCCACACCTGCAAAGTATGAAAAATCTACATGTAGGCTCTGTGTGTCCCACGGCAGCTGGGAGAAACACTGACAAGGAAGTTTTCAGTGTGAAATTAAAACTGACTTAGCAGGAGAGAATTTCCTCTCCCTTCCCTTCCTTCCTTGGTACTGGGGATTGAACCCAGGGGTGCTCTACCACTGAGCCATATCCCCAGCCCTTTTCCTTTTTTAAGACAGGTCCTGCTAAGTTGATAGGGCCTTACTAAGTTGCCCAGGTTCACCTTGCTTGCAATCCTCCTCCTGCCTGAGCCCCTGGGGAGCAGGGATCACAGATGTGCACCACTGCACCCGGCAGGAGAGAGCACCATTCTAACAGACTGGCTTGTATTTTCATTGTTGAAATTCTAGATTGGTCAGTTTTTCTGCAGAAATGGCAATATTTATTTATTTGCTTATTTTTAAAATATTTTTTTAGTTGTAGATAGACACAATATCTTTTTTAAAAACTATATATTTTTTTGTTTTAGGTGGACACAATATCTTCATTTATTTTTATGTGGTGCTAAGGATCGAACCCAGTGCCTCGCGCATGCAAGGCAAGCACTCTACCACTGATTTACAAACCCAGTCCCACAAAATGGCAATATTAAGAAGCACATATATCTCAAGTCTGTTACTTCTAATTTTGGGAATCATCATCATCATCATCATCATCATCTTGGTACTGGGTAGTGAATCCAGGGTGCTTAAACACTGAGCCACATCCCCAGTCCTGTTTTGTATTTAGAGACAGGGTCTCACTGAGTTGGCTTAGGGCCTCGTTAAGTTGCTGAGGCTGGCTTTGAACTTGTGATCCTCCTGCCTCAGCCTCAGGAGCCACTTGGATTACAGGCATTCACCACCATGCCTGGCTTATAGAAATAATTTTATTGAGATATTAGTAAAATACAGATTCCCGGAAAAGTAAAAGAAACTATAAAGTTAATATCACTTGAAAACCCACATCCCACTTGACCTGTTAATATTTTGGTATCTGTTTGTCGCTGTTCTGTATGTACAGCATGCCTAAAATAAAGTGGGGGTCATCTAATCCTTATTTCCTTAATAAGAATAACTTCTCTTGTTCTTTGATTCAACCAATGTATCTAGAGGGCTAGTATTCTGCTACTCACTGGAAGATTAATCTACTCACGTGAAAGATTAATGGCCAACAAATAACAAGTGAACATTTTCATTTGGATGTTTAATAGACTTTTAAAATTAATTAATTAATTTATTTTTGTGGTGCTGGGGATTGAACCCAGGGCCTTGTGCATGTGAGGCAAGCACTATACCATCTGAGCTATATCCCAGCCCCTAACAGACTCTTGAGCTTCAAAGCGCAACTCCTGATCTATGACTGTTCAGCCCACGCCTCTGCCACTTCAGCTGGTGACTCCCTCGTTCCTGTTACTGGGGTCACACATCTGAGGAGTCATCTTCCACTTCTCCAACTTCTCACATCCCACGTCCAATCTGTCAGCAAGTCTTGATGGTTCTCTCTTCAGAGTGTGGCCAGAATTTGACTATTTTTTTTTTTTTAAATCGCTTCTATTATCCTGAGTCACCCCCCTCTAGCCTGGGTGGCTATACTAATCTCCTAGATTGCCTTCTGGTTTTGCCTGCTTTTCTTTTTCTTTCTTTCTGGTTCTGGAGATTGCACCCAGGGGTGCTCTACCACTGAACCGAATCCCCAGCCCTTTAAATTTTTTAAATTACTATTTTTTTTTTTTTGTAAGAGTCTTATAGTTACACACAGTTGTTGGGTTCATTCTGACAAACTCATACAGGCATGGAAGCCCTTTTTGATTTTTATTCTGAGACAGGGTTTTGCTAAGTTGCCCAGGGCTGGCCTCAAGCTTCTCATCCTCCTGTCTCTGCCCCTTGATGGCTGGATCACAGGCCTGCGCCACATGCCTGGCTCTGACAGTCTATTCTTAACATAGTTATTGGGTGGTTCCTTCTAAATCATAAAAATGGTTCACAATGCTCTTCAGCTCAAACCCTGCAAAGACTCACTCATTTCACTCAGAATAAAACCCACGATCCACAAACAGGCCAACAGAACCCACTGTGCTGTGGTTCCTGGTCCCCTCTGCCTTGGGTCCACTCCTCCTGCAGCTTGCTCCATCCCTGCACTTTTGCTCCTGTATGAACGCTAGCTAGTGTGTTCCTGCCTGGGCCTGGCGCTGGGGGCGCTTGCTGGGGTGCCCATCTTCCCTCTCACTCCTCATCAGCTTCAAGAAGCTGCCCTTAGCCACGGGTCAACCTGGCCCAGTGTGTGAAGCAGCACTCCCCACGTGCAGGGCCCTGCACCCTGCTTGCTTTCACTCCTGTCACAGTGCTTACTCTATCCTGTGTTCTTCCCCATCCCTGCCCGCCCCCCCCCCAGTATTGGGGATTGAACCTAGAGGTGCTCTCCCGCTGGGCTCCACCTCCAGCCCTTTTTGACACAGTGTCTCACAAAGTTGCCCAGGCTGGCTTAGAACTAGCGATCCTCCTGCCTCTGCCTACGGAGCAGCGCAGGCTTACTGTTGTCTTTTGTGGTGCTGGGAATGGTACTTAGGGCCTTGCAGGTGCTAAGCACGTGCTCTACCACTGAGTTAGACCCTGGCCCCTGCTCCCTTCTTCTAACATACAACAGGTGCCACCCTTTTCTGTTGATTTTTATTTATTTATTTATTTTGGGGTACTGGGGATTGAACTCAGGGGCACTCGACCACTGAGCCACATCCCCAGACCTATTTTGTATTTTATTTAGAGAGGGCTTAGCACCTCGCTTTTGATCAGGCTGGCTTTGAACTCATGATCCTCCTGCCTCAGCCTCTGTTGGTTACTTATTGCCTGCCTTTTCCTTCCAGAACAGAGGCCTCACGAAGGCAAAAATCTTTGTTTTGTTCAATGACGTGTACCTAGCATCAGAAGAGAGCTGGGCAGAGCAGGGCACACTGGAACTGGGTCATCGAGCTACCTTGCTAGTGCCCTACTGTTATCCACTGAAGTTATGAAAGCGAAAGGAAACACAAACTGATTTCCCTACTCTCACCCCTACACACATCTGTACTGCACTTCCGATGCCAGGTATTCAGGGGTTTCCTTAAACAGCAAGAGATCTCCAGGGGTCACCAAGGCGGGGATCCTATAATTCAAACCAGTTCTGATGCCACCTCCCTACCTGGAGAGCAGGAGCTCCCACAGCCTCAGGGCCAGGTCCCACAGCACTGCTCCCACGTCAGATGCCAGCTCAAAGCCCCTGGCTGTGATCTGCATCCCTGCCCGACTGGCTCTAAATCAAGGGTTCCCATGATCCTGACCTTCAGTTTGATTAATTTGCTAGAGTGGCTCAGAGGACTGCTTACCTATTTATTACAAAGAATACTATAAAGGCCACAGGTGACAAACTGCAGGGAAGTGACACAGAGAGCAAGGCATGGGGAAGGGGTATGCAGCTACTGCCTGCCTGGGCGTGCCCTCCAGCACACCACATGTTGGCCCCCAGAAGCTCAGGGGCTTTATGGAGGATGGAGGGAGGGCTAAAGCTTCCAAACTTGTAGTCATGGCGTGGTTATTTTTGTCCAGCCCCCGTCCAGGAGTCCACCCAGAGTGGCCGGGAGACGCAGCACTGTTCTAACAGGGCCGTGAGGACTGGCAGGACTTAGGGTCTCAAGTCACAGCAAACAAGTTTCCCCCGACTCCTCTATCTTCAAATTCTCACACTAAGGATTCTTTTCCTTTTTTTGGTGGGCACTAAGGATGGAAGCCAGAGCCTCTCGCATGCCAGGCAAGCACTCTGCCACCGAGCTACCCTCCCCGCTCCTTAACTTCAGGATGCTGTGCGTGTGTGTATGTGACACTAGGGACTGAATATAGGTTGCTCCACCACTGAGCTATTTCGACAGCCCATTTTATATTTTTATTTTGATATAGGGTCTCACTAATTGCTCAGGGTGGCCTTGAACTTGCAATCTTCCTGTTTCAGCCTCCTGAGTTGCTGGGATTACACACAACTTCAGGATTCTTAAAACAAGTTGACGGGGCTGGGGATGTGGCTCAAGCGGCAGCGCGCTTGCCTGGCGTGCATGCGGCGCGGGTTCGATCCTCGGCACCACATGCAAACAAGGATGTTGTGTCCGCCGAAAACTAAAAAATGAATATTAAAATTCTCTCTGTCTCTCTCTTTTAAAAAAAAAAAAAACAAGTTGAGAGAGGCCAATAGCAAGTGAAATCATTTACACATACTTGTCCTGATTCAGCAGGATCTGGCTAGATGACAGACAGACCTGCCCAGAGGCCAATAAACTTGAGCAACATAGCTTTTGTGTATGTGGTGCTGAGATCTGGGTTTGATCAAACCCAGAGCCTCCCACATGCCGGTGAGTCCTCTGCCACTGTGTCACCTCTAGCCCTTAGTAGCAACTTAAAAGAAAAAAAGTACAGGGGACGTCTTTCAGTGATGTTGTTTTTCATATGGACCTGTGTTTCTGGGTAATTTGTATGCCCTGGGAAATTAAAAACACCATATTTTCTCCTCTTTTTGAGAGCCTTCCTTCTGAGCAGTGCTCAACCTCTCGGCTACGCCTGTATTTTGAGGTGCCAAGTGATTCTCATGCCATTGCGGAGCCCCACACACGCAGTGCATCCTTCAGGGATGTTCCTTCCCCCCCTCAGTACACTTACATAAACATTTATTTTTTTCCCATCTCTGAATATGCCTTAAAGGGCCAGTGGAGGAATCCACCATTGTCAAATCTGGCTAAAAACAAACCTGCTGCTAAACAAACTATGAAGATGCAAAATTTTGTGAAATAAAACCAAGAAAACAGAATTAATTGCTATTAAAAAAAATATATATATATACATCAATTTGTACACAAATTTTTCTCCTAGATTATATGAGATTGTTATACACAGCAAATACTTGAAAGAGAGGAATTTTTTGCTTTTTATTTTTGGTACTTGGGATTGAACCTAGGGGTGCTTTACCACT